CATATTAAACAGCAAACTAAACATTGGTTTTTGTATGTGTATAGATAAAATGAAGATATGTATCGTGCAAGATGTGTGGAAATGTTGTTTGTTGTATTGTGTAGATTACAAGTGTGATTGTGATTTTTTTTTAGGAAGATCAGATGTGTATTTGCCGAATGTATATTTATATGTAATCAAAAAAGAAATCTAAATAGTAAATATTTCTCTAGACACTACTATCATTACTATTATTATAGATATACACATATTCAAATAAGAGATAATGTTGATCCTTATATCCTACTATTAATTGTCATACCATTAGCATTAATAATTTTTATTTCAATACAGCATAAAAATAATATAAATAAGCAAAAAGTAATAGATTATGTAGTAGTAATTTTCTGTAACTTACTATAACTGCAAATGAGCAATATTTTGTTAATTTAAATGATCTTATGTATAACATTTATACAAGTGCTACAAGTCCATATCATCATCAAAATCCATTGCAGCTCTTCTCCTATCAAACTGAAATATAAAATTTTGGTCTTATTATCTTCTATTATATCTGTTATTAGATTATTATATTAAATATAATCATATTAACTTTGACCACTGTCTTTTTTTGGGTTTGTTGATTCACACTTTCCAGTAAGTTGATTAATTCTTGTTCTCCGAGCTTGCCAGGCAACTGTCCGCGTTGTGCCATGTTTAAAAGCATTTCTTCTATCATTTTACCTTTCTCAGGCTTTCCAAGGCGAAGTGTATTCACTATTCATAAATATGTGATATTATACACTGTTAAAAGAATTGCAAATAAGAAGGCACTAAGAGTCTAAATGCGATTATTAGTGCATGGTAATTTATTAAAAATAATAATTTATTAAAAATAAAACTTATTGCGAGGTAAACAAAATTCCTTAATATAACGAATGCAACGGTAGTTCAAACGTTTCGACTTTATATTGAGCCATCTTCAGCAAGAGTACAAAAAATTAAATACAAAAAATACAAAAAATTAAATAAAACTTGAGGATATTAAAATTACTAGAAATTATTATTAGAAATAACTGTGGCAATTGGTGTTATGTGTCTATGTGGCAATAGTCAGTTGTAGACTTAGGTGATGGTGGATGCTCACATAGATTTCCAGTAGCATGAGGCCAATCAACAGATTACCACACAGGCACATGTCCAATCTTTTGTCAAACACTTAGGAGTCAGATCGCAGTCTTATTGAATATAAAAGTCGACACAACGACATAATAGTACCAAATTAAAAGCACATGTGATAACCATGAGTCAAAAAAGAATATAAAAAGTCAAGTTGATAAAAAAGTGTATAAAAAAAATAAAAAAAGTTTTTTATTTTTTT